CACGTGACGCTGGTAGCACGTAATGATTATCTAGAAGATTCGCGAAAAACGCTAGTGCGTGCTATGCACGCGTTTGTGTCACGACAGCGGAAGTCAAGTGACGCTGGTAGCACGTAATGATTATCTAGAAGATTCGCGAAAAACGCTAGTGCGTGCTATGCACGCGTTTGTGTCACGACAGCGGAAGTCAAGTGACGCTGGTAGCACGTGATGAGTGTCTAGAAGATTCTCGAAGAGGCTACGCGGTCGCTATTATCGTATATAAGTGCGCTAGACAAAGGAGACAAGCCGAGACAGAGTGTGGAACCAAGGACAGCAGTTACGGTCGGTGGGAACCGAGGATAGCAGATACAGAGATCGGAACTATAGTTGCTGACAGGCGGAGATAGAGACGGACACTTGAGTCAAGCGCGGTAGTAAAGTGAGTGAATTGTTGTGAATTATAGCGTGTGTTTAAGTTAAAGTAACTGTGGAAATTAAGTGTTTTGCAAAGTTATATCGAGAAAGAATAAACTATTTTATTTAAGAAAGGACTTGTATCGCAGAAAAATTAACAAACGAACATACAGAGACTTAACAATAGAGTTAATAAAACACATGTAAAATACTTTGTCTTTAACATAATTTTACCAAAAATATTGAAACAAAATAAGTTTGAAGATGCTTGACTCTATTCTTCGTACTAATATCACTCTTTTATTTAACTGAAAATGCTGTACAATATTTCATTGTTTCGAAGACTATGTTGAACTATTTTACTTCAGACAGTTATACAGACCAAAATTCAAACCAAAATGATGCAGAACATGAATCATTATCATTGTTGGCCAAATCGTATCTAATATTTTGTGAAATGAAATATATATCTGGTATAAAAATTATGGTATTTCTTTGCAAACTATTTTTATTAAAAAATATGGATTTCCTAAAGTTGTTGTATGCACTTATGTGTGTATAACTTGTATATGATAAATATCAAAATACCGAAGAATATTGTTTCGAAATTATCCTTATGCACACATCAAATTGCCCTAATACATAATAATTATATTACTACGAAGATTTATCAGTATCTTATACCTAAAATCACCAAGTACAACCCTAAAAAATTAAAGCATTTAGTAGGCTTTAATTCAACGTTGACTATTGATCGAACCAGCGAATATCCTCTGAAACACTCCTGTATCCGTTTCATATTCATAAATCACTAATATAATATTGTTTTTATATGTGTGCCCTTTTGCATGCTGAACTCTGTCATTCAAAACTTTTTGTATCCGTGCGTGACTGTGATGAAAACTTGAAAATTAATTGTCTAATTTGTCTTCTATAAAAAACTTATAATGTTAGTTGTCGTTAATAATTAATATCATTTCCTGAAATACTATTAATATGATGATATCTGGTTAGATTTAAAGCGTGAATGACCACTTTATTTGCTTGTTGCAATAAGAACTAGTGTGAGTAGGCCCGCTGGAAGTCTTCAGCTCCAGCCCTGGTAGACCCTTAATCCAGCCCTGCTTTGTTCCCTTATTTATTCTACTGGGGTAACACCTGTTCTATCCTTGGATAGAAGGTTTATATTGTTGCATGTTGAGCAAGAATGTAAACATTAGACGGTATCTCGAGATTAAACCTTCTTTGATATAAAAGATTTTTATATAGATATATTAACATATTAAAATAAATAACCAATAAAGCTGAAGTAAAGCACTTCAAAGCAGATTATTTCACAATTACAACAGACCCAAGTAAACTAGAAGGATCGGGAATAATATAATTTGTTCTTTCCTGCTTTTCGCGTATAGTCATTCAAAAGCTACCAGAGCTAGCCGTCCCAAATTTTGAATTGATAGGCTATAAGAAAGGCAGATAGTTAAATCTTCATTATTATAAAACAAATAAAATAATAATATTCTTTATCAACCAAGTTTTAATAAATTCTAAATTTTTCCTGTCCTTAGTCACACATTGTCCACCAAATCCTCTAAGGAAGTTGAGAAATCCATTACAGATACAAAATTGCCGTTTAAGCATTATCATTTTACTTTATTATCAATATTGGATCCAATCGGTCGGCTTTGTCTTTATCGCTTCTAACAAAGGATTTCTACGTTCAGATGATCAGGAGAAGGCAGCAATTTTCAACACATGTGGTGAATCCAGGTAAAACTGATTATTTATACAGTGGCTAGATAGTTGAATAACATGAGGTCCGAAAAGATATTCATTACAGAGTAGTACTGAATTTCTCTAAATACCCAAAATACCCAAGTTCGCGAGAATGAAATAAAGAGACTTCAACTGACACAATGTAAAATAGGAAAAACACAATATTTATTATAGTCGAACATAAAAACACATTTTATGAACTTGCTTAGTTGATGGAATGTTGCTTCTACTGAATTGGAATTATTATATCTGTAAACCTGATTTGGTTTAACTTTTACTAGACTGTTTATATCCAATACCAGCGTAAAATGTCATTTTCATTCAAACAAAGGAGAAACCGACTTGCGCGTAAGTTAATGAAATAAAATATAAAATTATTAGTTGAATGACATTAATTTTTTTATCTAAAATAATAAAAGTTTTTTTTTCTTTTACAATTTGGAAACGATAATATACCGTTCGTAACATTTCATCTTTCTTACCAGCAGGTGGCATGTATCACTTATAAAGATTTAAGTTTTAACTTTCAAGTGAAGAGTAAGTTTTCAAGATACTTAATAACAAAAAAGAAAAAAAAAGGTTATTTTCAGCAAATATATATTTTTAATTTTATAAAATGTCTTCGCCTTTAGTGAACTTGGAAAGTAGTTTAGAGAAGTTTATCGAAAATGTGCGACAAATAGGTATCATAGTGGGTGATTTCCAACCTCAAGGACAGACCGTGTTGAACCAAAAAATGTAGGTTTATTTTTATTATATATATAAAATTGTAATTTTAGTATGTGTTTACTGTAAGGTGTAACTTGTAAATGTATCGTTGGTAGTACGTAACATGCAGATTAAAGCTTCAAAAATGAGCAAAATGACCAACTTAGAAGGCCATATGTGTCACGCCTCTACTAACATACCCTAAACTGGCCAAAATAAGCAACCCAAATAAAATGTACTTCTACTAGAACTTAATAGAAGTTCTAGTACTAGTTGTAGTAATGTTGTAGTCTGAGTTGTTTAAAAGTTCTTTACTACACATCCTACTTCTAGCAACTGTTAGTGGGTTTAACTCTTTAACTTGCATTGATGAAGAACTTGCTTGACATATGATTATGAGAGGTTTCAGGTTTGAACCTGAGTGTCGATGTAAAAATATGATTACTACAGAGAAAAACTGGCACTCGACTAGTGGTCATCCCATAGCTCTAGCTTTTAAGATACGGCCTGAGGACAATCTTTAATTGTGAAAATAGAAGAATGTGGTTCTTTGAAGTGTTAAAAAACTCCTTACTAGGATCACTAGTGGGTTAAACCTTTAGTTCAGTTGGTAGAGCATCTTTTAATGTGTTAGAGGACTCTGAGTTGAGGGAAATGGAAAAAATTGTATTACCACAAGTGTTAGTAGTACACTTTAGACTTATTACAATTTACAACCATGATGCAATATCTATACCATAAAGCAATTTGTATTTATTTATTTTTGTATGAAAAATATTTTCCAACTTCTGGTCACCACTGAATTTTCAGAGGTCCTTGGGTATGCCCTAGAGGAATTTTAAAACTTCTTAGTTTATTACTTTTTTATTTTTGCAAATTTGAAAGTAATTTCAGTTTTCCCCATTGTTACTGCCTTAGTGCCTACTTTCCAAATTTTTATTATCAAACAGCTTTCAGGGATTCTTGTGTATGGTGCAGATCTCCAGAACACACAAGACTAGGTGTTCGATAATATGTTAAAAATAGTTGCATTAACATGAAGAAGCAGGCCAGAATGTTAAGGCTAAGAATTAGTGATGGCTTTAACAGTTATTCATCAAGTCTCTTGATACTGGGAAAATTTCTGGTGACTGGAAAATCATCAATGTATTCCCTATTTTAAATTTTTCAAGAAAATAAGAGGTGGATCTGGGAAGCTATATTCGTATATATAAGCCTCTAAATTTGATGATAGCTGTTAGCAAGCTGTTGAAATCTATTGGGTATTACTAAAAGTGATTTATATGATTAATAGGAGTGTTAGCATTTAGCCAAAAAGACTTAGCATGACTCTAGAAAAGGTATTCTTACCTTTCCAACTTGGTGCAATTATATGTGAGGGCTTGTATTGTTTTGGGTGAAGACATCCATATTTGTTGTTGTACACAATATTTTGACATTCATAAAGCTTTTGTAAGGTGTCAGATTAATTAGTAAATTAAATTATTGTGAAACTCTTTAAGGATATAAGAAATAGACAGAAAATTGACTTAGTGGTATTAAGCAAAGAGTTGTGGTAAATGGGCAAATTTGGGAAGGACATTTTCTTGTGTAAAAAATGTATCATTGAAATAAGAGAAGGACTTGAGTATGTTTGGATTTATTTCTAGATATTTTTATCATAAGAGGAAGAATGTTATATGGTGAAGCCTCATTTGGAGTACTCTGGGTTGTTTTAGTTCCTTGTTTCATGAAGTATATTAACAAAATGGAAGAAGTGTAGAGACAATACATGTTTTAAGTGATTTAAGTTATAAAAATGTTTTCCATCTATTGGAGAGATCAAAGGATAATGTTCAAAATTAATACATAACTATTATGTTAGTAATAAATTTGCCCCCAGTGGCTCAGTATGTAGGCTTATGATGCTAAAATCTTTTTGTTTGGGGTTAAATTTATAAACTTGCGTAATGATTGGCCTAGTGAGTCTCTGTGTGCTACTGCTTTGAGTTACTACATATATATATTGATACGAAGAACTAGAGATGTAACTTACATTTGATGTACTGCTTGCTTGATTCTGTAAGGCGAAACCTAACAGATCAGATGACCTTTCTTTTACCTTGATTCTCTTATGTTCTGTTTTAATAGCTGTTTCTAATTTTATTGATATTGCAAAGATAATATGAGTAAATTCAAGAATTGTATCACTACTTTTTTAAACCAAGAATCATTCCAGTTGCTTCCCTGTATAACTTTTCCAACAATTAAAATTTTCTATACATGAATGGAAGGGAAACTAAAATTAGAGATAATACTCTCAAAATAGACTAAACAATAAATGTATACAAATTTTTAGGTATTTTACAAATGAGTAAAATTGGGTCACTTTTTGTTTTGTACTCTCATTCTTTTTATTACTCTATCATGCCTTTTTTTACAGAAACCAAATGGTGACTTTAATGCAAGAAATTGATAAGTCAAAGTCCCATATTCAAGATATCCAAGTACCTTTGGAGGTTTTTGAGTAAGTAATCACATGGTAAATATAAATGTTAATACAATATTAAAGATAAAACTTGATCACTCCATGGCATTCTGAACCTTAGTTTTATTTTGAGTTTGCTTACTGAACGCCTAAGGTTCAGTAAGCAAATATTAGTCCCACTTTTAGTCTTTCTTGTACCTTCCAACACGTGCAAATCATTACACAAAAGTACATTAATAGTATTTCAACTACATGTATGTGTAGAATGCTGTCAATAGTTTTTACTCACTTCTCCTTACAATACCCAAAGCCTTAATTGAAATGTTATTTCATTATATTTTCTAAAATAGAGTATAAATACATTTTGAAAGTGTCAAAGTTAAAACTAAATGGTTAAAATCATTATGGAGGCTTTATATAAACATTTTCTTCATAAATAAACATCAGTGAAATGCTTTTCTTCCACTCTTAGTTTCAAATATTGTGTAATTAGTAATAAACTTAGACCACTAAGTTCTCATTTTATATTGTGGTATACATTTATAATTAATGAAATTTCTTCAGAATTGAATTTTTCATTTCTTACAGATTGAATTTTACGAAATAAGCTGGTTTCTTGGATGCATAAGTGATGATTGTTATTGAGTGTTTTTATTACTTTCAAATGGGTTAATGCAACTGGCAAGACAATTCTTTTAAGTGACAATCTGTAGTTGTAGTAGTGTTAGCTTTTATCAAATATATATGTAGCATGGTGCCAGTATATGATTGATTGATTTGATGTGATGTACTAATTAATCAGAATAGTGTTAAGTGTCCTGCTCATTGAGCAGACATTTTACCTGAGTGTTAGTTCTTTTTTTTTCTCTATCTAATGCCAGATTTAGTAAAGCTACCTTTCATTTTGACTTTCTACATTAGCTCTCTTTTGTCATATATTGTTGTTGATACAACAACTGACAGAACTCGCTTGTAGCTTCATGATCGTTATGGGAAATATTTATTTGAAATCCCAATATGCTAAACATTCCATGTGTGTAATACAAGTAAATTTTTGTAGTTCATATTTGCTTGTCATTTAATACTTAGTAATCCCAAATGTAAGGTAAAAAGTTGCATAACTCTAACAGCATTACTTTTATATGGATAGATATGTGCCATTAAGATCTCCCATTGATTAAATTATATAACATTTAACTTGGTTTATATTTGAGTAATTAGCTGATGTTATTGTTTGTTACTTTCATAGCTATATTGACCAAGGAAGGAATCCACAGTTTTTTACCAAGGACTGCATGGAGAAGGCATTAGCAAAAAATGAACAAGTGAAAGGAAAAATTGATATATATAGGGTAAGTTGTATATGGAAGTTTGTTCGTAACCCATTTCATACATCAGCTGGCAGCTTTCTTGGTGAAAAATATGGAAATTCTCTCCAAACTTTATCTAGAGGCTCACATAAGGTGCGCAGAAACATTCTACGGCTCAGGGTGAATATAAACACTCTTAGGAAATTTTTATATCCTCGAGTCATTGTTTTGCAGCAGATACTTTGGCTTAGGATATGTTACATGTCAGGGGACACTTGAAGAGGAACTTCATCATCACAGCTGATATATTATGATTTTACCTTACAAACTGGATATAAATTTCACTTCCATTAACAGTGTTTATTATAATATAGTTACATATAAATATGTACCAAAAATCTGTTGATCCCTACCTTATTTTGAGGAAAAATGTAAAAATAAATGTGGAGAAATATATAGTGTAAAGTATGCACAAATTCCATCCCTAAAGTAAGTTCCAGATGTATGTTCTATGGGATTGAGATACAGAGAATATGCTGGTCAGTGCACTATCTTAATTTTCCTGCTCAAGGCAGTCAGTGATGAGTACAAGTTGGTGACAAACATTATGGTATGTTCAAATAAAATCAGGTACAGTGGCATCGAGGTCTGATAATGGTTTTTCAGGTTTTCATCTCTATAACTCACATTACTCAGAACACCACTCCTAATAACGTGCAGGTTAATGCATCCATTGTAACTGATGTCTCCATATGATTTTTAAATTTTTTGACAGAAAAACAATAATGGTTATACAACCAAGATTAACTTTAAAGTAGAATTTACTTAATATCTGGTCTCAGTTTATATATGAGCAAGCTCTATTTGAGTGGATGCATACATCACACTCATCTAAAGCATGTTCTGGTACACTTTGGATCATAAATTTGCATGTGCCTTTATGTGAGTTAACAGTTTTCTTTTAGTACAACCTATATAATCATGCTGAAAGCAAGGACAAGTAAATTTATAAACAAGATATAATGACTTTAATGAAGGAATATGATCCTTAAGTCTCAAAAAATTTTGTAAAATACATCCTTTGTATTTAAGGATATACCCTACCTCAAAGTATATTTCATACCTGATGTTTTATATTCAAAGAATATTTACCAATATATGGCAAAGGATATTTAGAAATTCTATATATAGATGTTTTAGTAAAACTTTGCTTGTAGGTATTCAATCAATGACATGTATTTTGCATAAGAATTCTTTGATATTACTAAATTCTTTATGCAAGAATTCATAAGAACTTGAAAGTTAGTAGGCATGATGAAGTGAAATCTTAGCCACATGTAATGTTCAACTTAAGATTCTGTTTTGACTTCCAGTAATACTTTATGAGTTACAACTTAGCTGCTTGTAAAACATATACCAGTAAGTTAATGATCTCTAATTTATTTTATTTGGTATAAATATGTGAAAAGAACAAAATGCAAAACATCCAGTCCTTTTTATTATTGCTTATTATCAGTTTTTATAACAAGAAATTTTAACTTAAAGTAATTCAGAATGTATTATTTTCTTTTATTATGTAACATAAATATATTGTTAACTTGTTTAGTTCATACATGGCACAATTCAGATGTACCTCATTTTCATCCTTTCTGTATTTTTCTGGTTTAAATACCCATATACATCAATCATTATCATGGTTAGTGGCATATATGATCACCTCATTCTAAGATGGTAATAGATTTGTACCCGAAATGTTGTATAAAAACTAGTTATTAATTGTTTCCAAAATGCCTTCCTGAAATTACTGTTTTATTGATTTATAGTTGTTTTTCATTGATATTTGGTTCTTTTCATAATTTATTTCAATCTAAATTACTAAATGCACCATGAAGAAAACTTATCTTTGCCATTAAATGAGACTGGTTTACCATGGCAACTCTGCCTTCAAGTTCAACTTAGTTTATTTACTTATATTTTCCTTTTGTGTGATTTTGTATTCATGATACAACACTTATGATCTTATTGGTTGGTTAAATGTACCATTGCTCACCTAATATCGAGTCACATTACTTTGACAGAAGGGATTGTTTCTTTATTAAAATTTTATTTTTTAAATTAATAAATAAATTATTAGTTTCTACATTAATTCCTCAAAACATTATAAATTAATTTTTTGATAAATATACTGTATATTGGAAATATTGTGCACAATTACATAATAAGCTCTAATCAATGTACAATGTAAATCAGAGGAATCAAAAGCAATTAATGCTTTGCATCCTTATGTTACTAAAAGTACAATTCTTTTCCACAAACCAAATGTACTTATTATCCAGGGTGTAACTCAGTCATATATGTAGCTTTGTTAAAAATTCTTCTATCAGATGTAAGTTTTGCATTTGGATTTATTACATAGGGTTTTCACAGGTAATGGAAACCTTGGAAAGACATGGAATTCATATGTGCAAGTCGTGGAAAACTTTTAAATTAGGAAAATTAAAGTTTTGTTATAATTCTATTAATAAAACCTGTTGTATGCAATCCTGTGTAAACAAAAGCTGGAAGATATTCCTAGAGTATGAGTATTTGGTTTGATTCTCTGTAGTTTTGTGTGTACCTATGCTTACAGCTTTATCATACCAACTTAGTCAGTATTTCTTCTCAGAGTGGGATTTAACAAAACCAAAACTTCATTTTTTATCAGTGAAATGACACAAGACTGTTCATAGTACTTAAAAAAAGAGCATTTAAGCTCTTAAGGTCAGTCTGTAAAATTAAATATACTGTCAGAAACAAAACAAAGTGAAATTTTGTCTTAATAATATTGGACTACAAATGTTTAAACTTGGAGAGTCCCCACACTCAGCATCTTCGACACATAAAGAGAACACTGAAAAAAACATTACATAATTTATATATGGCTAAAGAACAAGTACTAGTGAAGAATTACAAGGCATAAATTATTCCCCTGTTGTGTTCTCCTTTCATTCTATATATTCTGTAAATCTTGTTTATTCATCATTTTAACTTTGTTGCCACTGTGAACAATAACCTTCTTCCCTGTTGTGAATCCTTGTGTTCTGGTGATCCTCATTTCTTCTAAGCTGAACCTCTTTGCATTTAACGGTTAACTAATAGAAAATTATGATGTTGGGAGTTTTCTGCCTTTAATATTATATAGTCAAACATAAAAGAAATCCTCAATCATGTCTCGCCTCTTATTTATCCCATCTACCATCAGAAAAGTTTAAATAATTGTACAGTATCTCTGAATTTCTTAAGTATATGCTTATTTGACTGTAATTGTCTTTCATAAAAATTACATATCAAATTTAAGGTAGAGGCTGACTCTGGTACAAGTGTGTGTTTGAATATTTTGTTCTGTACAGTGATGTTAAAATTATGTTTATCGAATATACAAAGCAAGTACAAATAATTCTTTTATCTGTTTCAGAGATTCAAAGCTTTACTTTTAGTGGAACTCAGCAAAATATTCCCAAATGAAATGGCAAAGTATCGAGCTATTCGAGGTGATGAAAGACCTTCTTCTTAAAATGAAGACTAATTTTTTTTTTTTAAATCTGCATGAATGAAAAATGATATGATGAATTTAAGGCTTGTAGCCTTGTTTATGTAATTTAGTTGTAAATATACCAAAAGTATGATTAAATTGCTAATGCATTTTATAAAAGTAAAAAGGCAGTACTCTTTATTTTGGAGTATATTTATTCACAGAAAAAATAAGTGTTAAACACAGCTCTTCACTGTAAAATGCAAGATCCATTAGCGACTATATTTGGGGTTATTTTTGTAATGGTTGCATTCTTTTTAAAAAATTAGTTTCCCTGAAGTATGTTGTTTATTTTCTTAATAGTAAGAGTTTTTGTTACAACCAACGAAATGGTCTCAAGCTCTATATGTATCAATAGCACATCTGAGTTTTATCCTATTACATGTTAATCATATATCACCCATTCTTTAAAACGGTTTAACCATGGGTCCTATTTAATAATGAATTTCAGTATGATTTTATCTTAGTCTGATAGCCATTCTGGAATAAAGCTGTAGAAATTGAGTTCATGGTCTGGTCCTGGAAACTTTTTTTTACAAATACCCTTTAAAGTGGCCTTATCATTTTTGATTGAAGCTAATAAAATAGGGTAGAATTAAGCATGGTAGATTCTCTAGTTAATTAAGCCTAAATTCTGTTTGTCATTTCTTTTGAAGCTCTAATTATGCAATGATCTTTCTCAGTGTTTTTTTAATCTAATACTTCCATTCCTGATTAGTATCGGAACATATTCCAAAACATGTACCGTATTGTTGTTGTGAAGAGTAACATAGACCATTGTTCAAATGGCAAGTACCATTCCTTTAAAGTATAGCCAGTTGAGTTTCATGTAGAATGAATGAACTCTCTGTAGTTACTTTCTCCTTTGAAGAAAGGTAGGGTTTCAACAGTCTGGAAAAATGTGCATTTTGTCAAGGTAAAGGAAAAAAAGACAGTAGAAATCTATGAAGCACTGCTCTTAAAGGTGTCAGCAGGGTTAGGGTAACTGCAGATATCCAAAGTGAAGGTTTGAAAAAACATATGCTGCCAGATCTTAAGAACCTTCTTGAGTATCAGGCTAAGTGGTATAAAGTTGATACTCAACATTCACAATTCAGAAGACAATCCTATCAAATTACAATTGTCTAATTCTCCTGAGCCTGGTTCCAGCCAAACTACTGACTAGATCTACTCAAGATCATGATCTAAAATGGCAAAACTTCTTGATTTGTGGAAAGTAAGAGAAGAAACTTTATCAGGTACTATCTTATTAGGTAGGAGAAAAGCTAGGAAATTTGCAGATCAATGCAATGATGAAGTTGTAAAGCTCTGCCCTGGTAATAAAATATAATAGCTTATAAAGGGAAGTACCATAAATCTTGTTATTAGACCTTTACCTCTCCAGATCATCCTTCTTATCTTCAACACAATGTGAAATCTGATAAAGAAACAAAAAAAGTGACTGCAACAAGGCTTTTGTATATTGCTGGTTGAAATTGGTGTTGGTTTATTCCACCAGCATCACATCTATGAATTAACAAATATAAGAGAGTTATTGCTAAATTCTATATATTCTTGGAGTTTATAGTCAGGGCTAGAAGTCTATAAGAGTTAAATAATGTTTTTGCAGCATTATAGTACTTGTATAGTTTTTATAGGTCTGAAGTAAGGACAAAAAATTAACTTACCTTTGACAATGATAGTATTACAAGAAGAGCTATTTAATCTTCAACAGAGATAACTACTGACACAATCCTGAAAGCTGATGCACCAGTACTATTCTCATTAGAGTTATGCTTAATCTTACTATGGAGATTTAAGATATAACAGGATTACAGAATTGTTTCCCTGATCCAGTAAACCAGTTCTGACAATATAAACAGTCGCACTACAAGAGTTAACAACCTGCAGCTGTAAAAAAGGGGTGCACAAACCTTGATGATAAGCAGGAGACTTCAACAAAAGTTATGAAGATAAACCAGTCCCTGAATAAGAGACTTGCGTAAGTCGTGCTTTGTTCCAAACTGTAGCTCATACCTTATATTCAGTAATTATTGGAATATATAAAAAAATGATGTATATTTTGTTTAAATTTTCAATTCTTTAGAACTGAATACAGTAATATAGTAATATAATATACTGAATATAGTAATAACAGAAAATTTGAATTAAGTTTAATTCAATATTAAAATGCCAAAGTTTTCATATCAAAATATTTTCAGATAATTCTGTTTTCAAAAAAGAATCCTAAGTTTTTTCTACCTTTATTTGGAACGTCATTTTTTTTCAAAACCCCTTTTTCTTTAATTTTGGCTTGCAAGTATTCGATTTGAAAATATATACACCATATAATTAATTATGTAAATACTTTTCTGGCATCCACAAAATATTATGAAGGTGTGAGATGTACTTTGCAAACTAAATGTGAAACAAAAGTTGTCAGAACTAGGAAAAATTGGACTTAGCTACTATATTAATCTGTATGTTAACCTTGGGAAAACAATAACTTTTTATGTGACTTACAAATGTATGTAATACCTTAACTAAGTTACTGTAGTAATTTATTTCTGTTAATATCTGCTATATATCTGTATCTCCCAATATACTTTTATCAAAGTACATTTATTCTAAGCATTTTAAAAAATATATCTTGTTTCTTTTCATTGGGTCCTACAATGATATGCTTATTAATAAAGTGGAACAGGTTTTTTGACGTATTTGGTTCTAAATATTGTTATATAGTTATGTCCAAATGTCTCAGTAATAGTTACTCCTGACCATAAATGCCTTTTTGTAACTTATGATAAATCTAGTTTTGTTTGGAGCTGGATTAAAGTTCTTTTTTTTCTCAACACAAGAAATCAGCACTTCTTTTATAGTGAGCATAATTCTCAGAATTTTGAGAAAACCTTTAACCCTCTCTATATGGGCTTGGTCACTTTGACCAACCTTGCAACTACGAAATTATAGACACTATAATTTTGAATGTAGTAAGAGTATCTTAATGAAATTTGGCAAGCATTTAGTAAATATGTCTCTTGCACACAAAAAAATCAGATTATTTTACTAAAGATTTTTCTGCGAACTCTCCAAGTGCACGGTGATTTTCATGTTAAGATTAAAAATATTTTTTCAATCTTAAAGTTTTCAGATTTTAAATGAATATGGGAAGTTTTTCCTGTAAAATTTTATCTGTTATTTTCTCTACCCTAACACCATATGGGCTTGGTCCATTTTACCGATCTCATAACACTATAAAAAAACATGAAATTAATTTCTTTCAAGAATGACTGTACATTGCAGAAAATTATTTATTCTGAACAGCCTAGGTTTATAACAGTTTACATCTGTTATTATTTAATTTTATTGGTTCAAAACTTTTTGAACCATCTGACTACTCAACCTGTGTGTGTAACAAGCTTCAAACCACTTGGCAAATACGTAACTCAGGTTATGGTATTGAATTATGCCCGAGCTTCTTGCATGCATATCTTGTGGAGAATTTTTTACATTTATGTTTTCATATCTAACTTAAGGTTCTAATTTTTACATTTCTGTGACTTTTATAGCAATTAATAAAAAATACATACATAAAATTAAGAAATTCAGTACTTGTGTGGGTTTTGTATTTTATGCAGTTGAAGACTTGAGATAAAAGTTAATTTTAAGTTTTGCTAGTTTTATTTTATTAGAACACAAAATAATAACACACACAAAGCGTACAATATATAATAATCATTATAATTTAAACCAGCTTTCTAACTAATCTATTAGTGCATTAAAATAAATCTCTTATCTGGTTGAGCTGAACTTGATGATAGCAACTTTAAATCTGTACCCCAGATAATTCAAAAACCGCTGAGAGGATAAGATAGCATTATATGTAAATCAATAAATTAAAATCTCTTTCTATTGGTTATAAATAATTCAATAGTGAACATCAGAGAAAATTATTGACATTTTTTGATAGACAGTATGTGATAGGAGGGTGTGGCATGCGAGTTAAGACTTTCTGGTTTATATCTTAGTAAAACAAGGTGATTGCAAGCTATACAGTTAGCAGTACCTATCATTAAATAAGGATCATGATGAAACAAAATGGTGGCATTAAAAATTGACCCTTTAAAATGTCTGAATACAGTATTGGCTGAGCAAAACTAAAACTTGTACTTATAAAGCCACCTAAATCACTATACACATGTTTATGAAATGAATCATTATGGAGTCTGGGGTTCCAATGATTTCTCTTCCTTGTACCAAAAAGGATACTAATATATATATATATAAACAATGCACTACTTTGGCCATATATTTAGATTTGTAGAGATCCTGCTGAGTAAGAAAATCAAATTTGATATATGCATACCCCACACTTGGTACTGGTGGAGCACAAAAATAGCTCATAAAAAGGAAAAAAGTATTTAGATTTTATAAAAACAAGAGGGATCAATATATATATATATATATATATATACATCACCTAACTAGCTATAGGAATATAGAACTTTTTAATTTAAAAATGTTTATTCCTCCTTTGGCTCAGACTAACATAATTACAGTGATTTGCCAAAGTAGAGATAAAAATGTTTTAAATTTTAAGTAACTCAGTTTTGTAGTTTTGACTTTCTTGTTTCAATACATTTTGTAGCATTAAAACTTTATATATTACTATAGCTAGCTAGGTGACGTATATATTGATCCCTACTTGTCTTTATAAAATTTAAACTTTATTATACTTATAATATAAAAAATATAATTTTTGTACAAACTCAGAAGTTCAAATAGGGATGGAAAGATTATCTAAACTTTACAAATTAGAGTGAACAAGTGTCATATAATATATGAAAGATTAAGAATTTATTTAAATATTAGCTTTTGAAGTTAATGAATTGAAACTTATATAATACTAAAATTTGATTTATTAACTATATTTTGATGCCAAATTTATTGAATGAATTGAAAATAAAGTACTTTAATTAAATTTTTAATGTAACTGTAAAAAAAAAAGGTCATAACATGCACACTTTTACCTACATGTATTCATGGGTCTAAAGCTTTACGAAGAACTTACTGTCCTTCTAAAAAAAAAGGCACAGTTCCATATTAATATGAAATATCACCTGTACATTAATTTTTTTCATAATTCTAAATTTCTGCACTACATACAATGATTTAAAAAAAAATTTTAAACATTATTTTACTTGTTAGAAGTTTCTCACAACATACAAGAAGAAACATTTTTCAAGCCATTTTATTTGTATCAATATTTACACATCATGTTGTAATACTTTTTACTGACTATACTAAAGGAAAATTAACCTGACATCACATGCACACAAGTATTTTTTTTTTCTTAATCCAAACTCTCAAATAGAAAGCTACAAGTATTCACTAGATTAACTATCCTGAAATCATCCACAGGAGTACTTATCAAAAAGAAACAAAATAGCTGTTCTTAGGGCAATTGACCAGCAGTTTAAATTTATTGCTTGTTTATGACATACCCAATAAAAGAACCTACATTAAATCCAAAACATTAATTTTCAATAAAACCCAATAATCATTCGGAGTAAGTTTTAAATATAAAACTAATTTTTAAACAAATTTGTTTCATTGTAATGTAATAAGTTTGCAGAAGAACTGACTAGCAAACTAAAACATATTTCAACCTAATAATCAGAACCTAGAACCTACTGAATTTTCTGAACAAATACCACATTTGTTATGTACACATAAAAACGTCTAAGTACCTTACACAATTTAAACAGAAGTGTAATTTTTTCTTTTAAGATTGGAAACACTAATTTATGGTTTAGTTAGATGATGACATATGTATGCCACATCAGAAATTATTAAGATTTAGAGTAGAGAAAGCTTGAAAGTTTATTACAATAGCTCCATAGTGATTTAAATATCTGTAGATATATAAAAAGAAGAGTTCATATCACTCAGATTCAAAGTGAAATGTTCATTAAACTAGCCATTCAAACCTCCCAAACTGTGCTTGCTGAAATATAACTTAATCTCATAACTTTATATTTACAGTTTCACAATAAAGTAAAAAGAGACTAATTTCTTTTTCACATTATTTTAACAAACTTAAGCCCAAGAAACTACATCACTGTTCATGAAACAACACCAATGATTCTATATCACTAAGAAGGCCAATCTCTATTTTAATAAGTGTAATAAAATATGAACTCCATTGTCTGATGGTTGATTTATAGACACACATGAAGCAGCCTATTCAACTGTACACCTTATGACATGTTCAGGAGTTTATAGCTTATTGTCAGGAATGTTCTTTTTTTTGTTATGAGATCATAATGCCACATGAATTAATCTATTAGTTGTGTACTGTTTATGTTTTAGTATGTAATAGTTTGTGTCTACATTTAATGGTATATGTTTCAAAAAATGTGTGAGACAATATGAATCCCTGTGATATTATTAGAATTGATCATAACAAAGGAAGAGGTGTTATATTTAGATACTTGAAATTATTTGTTGTAAGCATATGAATAAACACATTATGTATTATTCCATATTGAATTGAATGTTTTTTCAAAGTTTATAAAGCAGGTATATGCATCAGCATATCTGTCAGTAATAAAGTACACTACAACTTATGAATAGAAAAGTGATACAATTGTATTAATGTTGAAACATTGGACTAACTGCATAGTGAAACATTTACTATGATACAAAATTGATAATTATCATGTACAATACACATTATAAATATATTAACTTTTAAATATTATGATTCCATTTATTACCAGGACAGCCTTTCAGAATTAGAAAAATTTGATATGTTTAAGGCATGAGGCAACCTGATCTACTTATACAGTAGCTAAAGTAACAACATATTTGAAAAATTTTTCCCACTTACATTTAACTAATTTTTAACATTTCTTATAAAATACCACTGATGCTAGGACACTATTTGAGTCTAAAAAATTACAAATCAGCTAAAGACCATTGTGGTACACTGAGATAAAAAAAAAGGTGGATAAAAAACCTATACCAGAAAAAATGGTTATCCTTTAAATAATGGGACAAAAAGTTTGATACCACAAGGATTATCAAACAGGGAACATTTGAAAATTATCATCATTCAACAGACCTACAGCAGCATCTACTTGAATTACAGGCAAATCAATATTGCTTTAAAATTAGGATAATATCAATATATATATCATTATAAATAAAATCAATAAACAAAAATTGAAATTTAAATTACATTTAAAAAATTTAGTAAAAAAAAAGTCTAATAATAATAGGTAAATAGGGTGCTGTGCATTGTTGCAAGACAATGTCATGTTCCTAAAGTTCAAAAATATGAAGTGCTTTGGGGTCTAAAAATGAAATAAAATAATGTTGAAATATATATTTATGTGTGTGTGTGTGTGTGTGTGTGTGTGTGTGCATACACATGTACAAACAAAAAGATATATGTGAGCTTATGTACAGGTATGTATGTATGCATGCATATTCTCATAGGTAAATCACTATAGAAAAAAATATTACATTTATTCCCTTTAGGTGAATTGTGACAGGCTGTTAAATGAGTTCCTTTTTATTTTGTTGTTTATTTTCTTAAGTTACAGAGGGCCTGTATTCTAAAGTGGCTAGTTTTGTGGTCATGATCATTGAAATTTTTAGCCACAGGCTTGTCTGGATCACAATTCTAAATGTTACAGATATGTTAATATGCTCATTCAAACATTATTTTACCTGTTTCTCTTATAGTTGTCCACAATAACTAAATATAGAACAAAATCTATCTGACAGTTAAAATAATGATGTCCTTCCCTCTTCAAACAAAAATCCTTTCATTCTTTTTAAAAGATACAATAACACCTGGACAACTAGCCAAGGAAAATTTCCAGCTTTAGAGTATTCTTTCAACAGATGTCAAAAAGTAATCAATAAAATAAATTTCTCTATTAAATGCATTTTTAAACATAATATTATCATCACACCTGTGTACAAAGGTATTATTACAGTTCCATGGAATAAGGACTTGTATATAGCAGAGGTAAAATAACAACTCTATATATGAATACTACATTAAACTCCAAACCACTGTAAAGGAGATTGTAAACAATTTTATAAATGAAGAAGAACTCTCACTAGATTCCCAAGACCTAATCATAGAAGAACCAAAAATATCCTTATTTTACATCGTACCTAAGATACACAAGGCTGAAACTCCAGGAGACCTACAGTTTCTACATTTAACTGTCTTAGAGTTAATCTCTAGCTTTTTAGATGAAATTATGAAACCCTTTGTACTTATTCTTCCAACCCATATCAAAGATAGAATGGAAACTCTTCATGTGTTTCCCTAACTACTTCTAATCCATTGTTATTCACATTGGACATTAAGTCCTTATATAATGAGGGTCTGAAGCTTTGAGGTTATGCCTCAACCAGCAACAAGTGTTTGTAAAACTAGTTGACCTACTTTTGACATTAAATACCTTCTCTTTCAATTATTCATTTTACAAACAAATAAAGGGTGTAACCATTGGGTACCAAGATGAGACTGTCATTTACTAACCAGTTTGCAGGCTACATAGAGTAAAACATATTTCAAACTTATAATGGTTCTATGCCTGTATTAAACTGATGATAGAGTAATAACATAATTGGAATTTAAACTTCAAGCATAGACAATTTCCATAATTCTATCAATTTTTTTAAGAACTATCATCCAGCCCTTCAGTACACAAGCAACATTTCAAATCATTCAGTAAACTTCTTTGACATATCTCTAACCTTAACTACAGAGAATACCATTTTAACATCCACCTATTATAAGACTTCTGCCTCCCATTATTTCTTGGATTACAACTAGCCATCTCACATCCTCTAAAATCAACTAAGCTTGCAAAGATCAGCCATAATTCTGCACTACAACTGAAGGTAAAAACAAATAATTGTAAAAATCAAGTTTCTATAATAATGACATATCATCTGCAAAACAGCCATGTTTCTAATGTAATTAAGAACAAATATGGGATACTTTAAAATGACAAAACTTTAGAAGATACATTCAAACATAAAGCTACCACTTTGTATCAACATGGAAAAACCTAAAAGATATATTGGTTCATGCATGATTGAAGAAACCAGAAGAAATTACTCATCTTCAATGTGGTACACATTGCTATGCGTGTTAATAATACAACACATGCCATTACATCAACACCAGTACTTTGGTATTTGGACCCAACTCCACACTTTACACAATTATTAGTTTATTACATTACTTGTTCATACTGCGGACAACTATACATAGGAGAAACAGGTAAAATGTTGTCTGAAGAAGCATGTGAACATATCTATAATAGCGAGAACTGTGATCCAGACAAACCTGTGATGAAAAGTTCAATGATCATAACCAAAACATTATTCACTTCAGGATAATGGCACTCCGTTACTCACCAACACTCAAAAGGAAGAGACAGCAATACAAAAATGGAATCATCTATTGGCTTGGCACCATTCACCCAAAGGGAATAAATGATATTATTTTCCTTCACTTTATGTGCATGTTTGCATGCATATGAAAATATCAAAACCTTTTGTTCCAGTAAAGTTTAAAAACACTAGAGGAAGGGCATCCCAACCTGAAATTGTGTGAATATTAAAACATCTATTTAACATTAGCCACTTTTTGTGGTATAAGTTTCTACACTTCTTTTGTTTGCATATATGACAAATACAAAGACTATTGTGAAAGTTATATTCCCTGTATCTCTTTATAATACATATTTTATGTTATTAAAATAATCTTGATAAATGATTTTTATCTATATGATGAAGTGTTGGGAAGGTAAAGTGCATTAAAAAAATTATGGAGATGTTAGAAATACTGGGAAGAAACAAAGTAATCATGATTCTCAATGAGGGAAAACTTACTATAGTTGATAATAAGTATGTTTATTACACACCTAAACCAAAACTGGGAATAATGTCACTCACTCTGTTAGCTTTTGTAACAAGTGTATTATGTTTGTATACATGCCGGGGTTATTTATACAGCAGCCTGTACCAAACCTGCTGCTTGGAGTGATGTGGTTAGTATGATTACACTTTTTGGACTGAGTAGACCAGACCCTCTTAGTGATATAGGGTCTTGGACAATACCTTGTATATTCTTAGTGATACTGATAAGACATGAAAAAACAAATTAACAATAACTAATGATAATTGATAATTTTCTATTTTAAAACTTTTTATTATTCATTTGTCTTGACAACCAAGAATTCTGGTAAACTTTATTTCATACTCCTAACATACATCAGTGGAATGTCTTGTCATGACGTTGTGGGGCGTGGTTTTAAAATCAGTCTTCCACTCTGGTAACAAAGATATAAAAAAAAAATCTAACAATAAAATAAAACATACCCAGCTTAAATAAACATGAAAATGTGTTATATTTTAGAACCTTTTTAACGTATATTGGTTAATATTTCACAGGAAAACTGGAACTAAAAATTCTTCACATATTTTTGCTAATCACACCAACCTCAAATAAAATATTTATAATTTCTCTCTATATTTTTTGGTGCTGATAATCCATTTAAGTAAATATATGAATCTATAAGAGTATATTTTACAATTTTAAGATGGTTGTTAACATTATACAATTGTGATGTGTTATTTTAAACAGTTTCTTCTGAAATACCCTAATTTGGATTTAAATCCCACATAAAGTTGTGTTCATAAAATTTACATTTTAATCGTAAAATTTGGTGACTGAAATATTTCTTTCTTTTTTAACACAACCCTGGAAAATTAATGCTTATTTTTACATCCAAATTTACCTATCCAAGGTATTTTACATGTAAGAAGGAATATAGTCAAAAATGTTTTCTTCCAGCATATTTGGTTTTTACTTACATCATCACAAGACATGTTAAAATCACCCAAGACTTGTCTTCCTCTAGATACAATACTGAGAGTATGTCAAGGAAAGTCATCATCTAGCATAAAACTTTTACCTAAACTAATAAGAATAAGGCAAATGTAAAATTGTTAAATATGTAAGAATGTGTTATAGCTTTCTTTCTAGTAAGTGCAAAGGAAATCCTCTTTGCGATACACATATCAAAATTAAAAAAACATACAACATGACATAAAAAAAGGGGTTAATGTAATCACCTGCCAGTACCATACAAAAGTGGGTCACTCCTTTAACCCAAATAAGAGGAAACAATAGGTGAAATATTATCATGCAGAGTACATTGAATAAATAATCTGGTCAAACACATTAACAATTAAATTTTAACTTATGCAGTTGGAACTGCCTAATTATAAGAAGCCTTGACAAGAAGAAGAAATCGCTCACTATAAGACTTACAGTATGTAGAAGTCTAGCTGCATGCTCATTAAATATTTTTAGTTAATAAAAAAAAAAAATCTTAGAAAGCTTGAAACAAATTTCTAGAAAATGATGCAATGACACAACAAAGATCAATAATAAAAATAAAACTAATAAGTGTTTTAGAAGGACTTACACATAGCACACAAAGAAATTAATGAAACACATACTGGACAAGACAGTAATATGAAATGGCCCAAAAAATCTGTTGCTTCAGAGCAATATAATAACTATTTTTTGGTTTAATCAATTCATGATTACAAATCTACGTGAAAACAACATGAGAATAGCACACAGACTGAGAAAGAACCAGCAAGTTTTGATTCCGTAAGTCGACTTTTATTCATAAGGTAAAGATTTAAGTATAACTTCTGGGCCCCCCTGAATTAGCTCATTTTATTAATGATTTGCTTTAAAATTTAGTTAACTCAGTGAACACACATTATTTCTATTTGTTATTTGTACCAAAAAGATTAATAAATGATGGGTATGTTAAACTTGAAGTTTTCATAAGCAAAATCATATATGTGAAAAAGAAAAAGGTACATTTGGGCTATATGACCATCTCACACAGAAAGAAAACTGATTTCCTCCTACCTCATAAATATATGCAAAATTTAAAGTGAGATACTAAAACAGTAGGTGCATGCACTTTTAAAACATGAATTAACATTTAACCCTAACATTAAAACATCCTCAAAGGATACATTGAAGGTGCTACAACTCGTTTATGAATTCCAAGAAGGAAGAGTATTACTAGAATGATGCTACTTATGGTAAAGAACATATGATTCATCAAAGACTGGCAAAAACTAACCTGTAAAATTAAAATATTTAAAAATGACACTATATAGAATAACTAAATAATAAGCTTTATATCATCAAAAGCTGAGACTTAAAAAATGACAAATCTTTACTCTGTTTTTATTATATTATCAAACATACTGGGATAGCAAAGCTCCAGCTAATAGTGGGTTTGTTCCCAATCTATAACTATTGAATTTTAAGATACACTGCCTCATATGTTTAAGAAGGACAGCCAGCTAGAATAAAGATACAAAGGGAAAATAAGCAGTATTCCAATGAAAAATAGCTATTTGATGCAACATTGGAAATATGTGTTCAAAAGGTTTCAGCCTACCTATTCATAAATAAATCCACTGTGGGTAATGTGCTAAGTAAATAGAACACCACTGGTGGACTAATGTAGAATACTGACTGGCCACTTAAAATTAGTCACTGCTCAGCCCACATGAACTTGAAGTGCTATGAATTGAAACACTAACATTTTCCTCACCTGAAAATGTGTTTCTGATAGATACTCACTTCCACACACAAAACAGCTTGATCCCTCATGCATCTGGTTATGAGATTTAAATGCCACTAGTTTTGAGCTAACTCCCACATAAAAATCACATGTTTAATGTGAACTGTGTTACTGCATAGTAATGTCATCATGTGAAGATAATCCTTTACCAGTAGAGAGTGACAGAACTTCCTTTTTGCAGTAACTTCCCTAAGCATTTGCACTCAAAATATCTTCATTCTTAAATGAGGCATGAGTGTGTGTGTGGGGTGGGGGGGGGGGTAGTTAATGTAGATAAGCTCTCTTACAAACTATGTACCAAAGAAGAACGACCCAGTAGGAGTGTGACACCAGATGGCGAGGGGCTCTATAGGAGCATACTTCTAGTAAACTACCTCATCTCTTAATTTT